TGTATGTCATTCGAATCCTTTCATTTTTCTCTAAATGACTCATATACTTCATGTAAATTCCCATTACCAAATAAGTTTAATTTTATGTTATCCACCTAAAAAGGGTAGATCTTAATTCTGTTACCTTTCCCTCTTCAACAATCTGTACTTTAGTTGCTTGAGTAACCTCTTTATATATAACATTACAATAAATCCCAACAAAATAGTATATGCAATGAAGAGTCAAACCAACAAATTTCATCTATCCTGTGACTTTTGCATTTGCTAGGTGGTGTTACCACCAAAAAATCAAATACTTCTTCCCTCATCTTTCATCTTTCTTCCAAAACATTTCAAACAGTCTCCCTTAGACAATTACAAATTCGTACTGTCTCCAGGGACGCGCTTCCCAAAACGAGGTCGGTAAGAGTGTGTCAATGTGTTTCCCCACCTAACACTCCCTGACCTACGCCTCCGGTCGACGACGTCCCGCGTCCACTCTGTCTTTTTGTCCTCTTTAGATCTTGCAAACTTTCATCTCTCTCTGTCCTCTTTCAGTCTACCAACTTCTTCATATCCTCTTCATGTCCATATATCTCAATGATTATAAGCCCTTTTATAGTATAACAAAATACCTATTGTATTTTATTCTTATATAAATGATCTATATATCTTGTTGTCCGAATGATCCAATTGTCTTTTAACGATAATTTGTCAAAGTCGACGGTTGATAGGACAGAAACAAGATGTTTCATCTTGTATGCAAACGTAAATGGTAATTATAATCCTTTTCAAGTGTTAACTGATGGTAATTTCTGGCAAACCTAATTATCCTGCTCAAACAGTATTTGTAAGCAGCGAATCTACCTTCTTTCACAACTCTCTACAAGTTTTTGTACCCTCAAAAAGTGTTACAAAATCAAAATATAACTTGTTAATTCATTAGCTTCCTGTCTTTTTACAAGCACTACTAAATTTAAGATCAAAGTCGAAATTCCATTATTACTGTCTAATGTAAAACATTTTTAAGGAAATTCACAAGGTTTTTATATATGTAATTGACATCAGTCTAATACAAAAATTTATATATGGCGCCGACCTATGTCAACTCAAAAGCGTAAGACAATGTGTCGCTTAGATTGGTACGGAAACATTGTGTGTTGAATGCTTTTGGTTAAACTTTAATTACTTATTCGTTCTTTAATTTCTACTTTAGTATATCACCAATTTTTTTCAAAAAACAAAACGGATAATGTGAATCTTGGACTTCATTACTTTCTTATCCTTTTCTTGACAATGGTGAAGTTACCCAAATTGTAAGTGTACAAGTCGTAAGGACTGGTATATCTCTGAGTCAGGACAAAATGGGAAACATGGGCGACCCCCTCTGTCTAAATGTAACTCAAAAAGAGTCATCGATAAACGACACTAAATGTCGTCGTAACGCTTGATGGCCGCGTGTGGCAAAGCCACATGAGACTTAGGTCACACAAGCTCACTTTTTCAACGTAGTGAGCGCGTTTGTCTTGCTTGACACGTTTCTTGCCTTGTAGAGCTCTCCTCAAAGGTGTCGCAAACGGGAACACGGAGCAACAGTTCCGTTGGCGCCACCACTTCTCCATGCACGTAAAGAACCCCCTAAAGGACGCCGATGTCTCCTGTTTGCGACACAGCGACGTGAACAGGTAGTGTAACTACGGTCTCCAGGGAAGGGGGAGTCCTGTAGGGTCGGTCTCTCTCCAAAGGAACCTCGGGTGCTGGTCCGGCCGGCCAAGATGCCCGGGACGGTGGAGCCCTGGTCGAACTTCCGCCGGGCAAAACCAAGAGGGTGTGCTGTCCGACCAGAGTCAGGACAAGTCTGAGACTTGTGCTTGAGTAGCGTACTTAAAGAGTGCGTATTGACACGTTCTCAGGATAGTCTGTCCACGAGCATGCTTGCTATGGAATTCGGCAAGACCTTCCGCCTCCGCTGAACAAATGCCTACTAGACCTAGGACTTTTCTAATTTCAAAGTAGTAGGAACAAACCGTTGGTGTGCGTGTAGTACTAAGAATCAGTGCCTTGAAGTATAATTAAGTACAATCCTTAGTTAATGACAAATACCATAAAATTCACAACGCAATGCAACGGTATCAATCAGTTCTCAAAGACTATGTTTAAATAGCAGCAAATCATTGTTTCTTATTTATATCAATATATCTACTACATCAGATCACACATTGATCTGTTAATTTTCAATGTATTTCAGTCCAACTTCAGATCACTATAGAAAAAAGCAAGCAGACACACTCCGGGCTGCTGCTGCTGCTCTCGAGAGGAAAAAAGGTGGGGGGAACTCTCACAGACAAATACTGACACCCCCTTCTCTCTCCCCCGCTGCAGCTCTCAGCCTCTTTAGGAAAAGGAGGGCTTCTTTCAACAATTAACACTTCTGCTATCCTTTTATTCAATTTTTCTGCTTGAACCCACTGTTCTCGTAAGCTCTTAACTCACGCTCCTCTCGTTCAAATTCTCCCTTCATTATGACTTCGTATCTATTCATCTGACTTACTGTCTTTGTTACCAGTACATATTCACAGACTTCGTATCTATTGATCTGACTTACTGTCCTTGTTACCAGTAAATATCGACAGAAAAAATTCCCCGTACAGTCTATTCAGCTTTTATTGTCCGATGTTTATTCCAACAAGTTTAGCAAGCCTCTCAGCGCGCTTCAACACCATCTTTCAACAATGTGACGCTGACATGGAGTCGTAACCCAGGCTTACAGAACTCTTTATCGTGACGTTTGGCTTTATAGATTCAACCCCACAGAACAAAGGATTAATGAGGTCCGGTCACTTCAAAATTGTTTTTTGAAGTTTGCGTTACTCTCCTTTGGATCACTTATAACATGAATAACTCATCTCCAGCCCCGTCGAGCTGTGGATTTGTTATTTGGAGTCAGTCTTATATGGAGACTTAATACTACCCTTAGACTACTCCAGACAGCATAACAGTGGGGACTTTATAACTCCACTTATTAAGCCAGGGACTTCAATACACTTTTTTACGACTGTGGGGACTCGATACCTCCACTTTCAAGCCCGGGACTTCAATACCCTTCTGGCCTGTAGGAACTTAATATCCTATTTTAACTGAAACACGCATTTGCATTGTTATCACTGAGAGACAAGAGGGGTTTCCGCCGCCAGGTTTGTATACATGTAGGCCTACTTAATCTGCGCGATTTGCCCGTCCACATCTCCACGTGCAGTGCTGCATAAACATGGCTGAGTCTTTTCATCTGTAAACTTCCTCAACGGGGCCGCTCGCTCTCTTTTCTTGATTGCCCTCTCACGGGTGAACAGTTCAATGTCCCGCTTCATTGTAGGAATTCTGTCATTTCTCTACCACTTTAGTTCGACCATCTCCGTTACTAAGTTATGGAAAACTAAATAAATAAGTAATTAAATACCTTACTGTTACTGCGCTCATAAAGAATGATAAGAATAAGAATAATGCGTCTTGAACTGGTTTAATTAATTAGTGTCTTTACGTTTCACAGACTGTTAGCTTGTTGTGGTAGGCTGGTAGCCTATTTTATTAAAGAGCATATCAAAAGAAAGACTTGTGTTATGTCTTCCTTAATGCAATAGTAATTGGGGGTGCAAGTGGAGTCTCGCAGAGGCAAAACTGTGGCGCGCTTACACTGTAGGTGCGCCGCAGTCTGCGTGATCTGCCTTTAGGGAGGGGCGGGCCGGCCCTGAGAGTAAAGTAACGAGTAAAGTAACGAGTAAAGTAACGAGTTACTTTATGTAGACAGTAACGAAGTAGTGTAATACATTACTTTTAAAAAAAGTCATATGTAATGTAATATATTACTTTTTTTTAGTAACGACCCCATCTCTGCACTCCAGTACTTAAACACATAGCCCCCAGTGCTGAAAGAAGAATTCAGATGCAGTTAAAGTACAAATACATTATTGTTAAAATACTTTATGAGTCAAAGTCCTGCATTCAAAATGTTACTTAAGTATAAGTACACAAGTATTATCATCAACATGTACATAAAGTATACAAAGTAAAAGTGATCATTGTGCAGAAAAATGCCTTTATGTGTGTATTTAATTATATTTATGTGACATTTCTAGATAATATTGTCGCAGTATTTTAGTGACTTTCTCTAAAATGTTTAGATAATTTGACTCTTGTTTGTGACTTAAAGTGTAAGGGAAACTTCTGCAGTAGGGGTGTAATGGTTCACAGAAGTCACGGTTCGGTTCGTCCCACGGTTTGAGGGTCACGGTTCGGTACGAGTTCGGTACAACAAGAAAAAGCAAAAAAAAATCCCAAATGCATAATTCCAGGTTTGTTGTTATTTACGTTTGAACAGTAGTGCAAGTTTCAGTTTAAAAATAAGAAACTCTGACATTTTGAATAATTAACTGTATTAAACAGTTAAAAACAAACCACAAACAGTACCACACACACTCAGATGGCCATATTATCTATAATGGCTGATGTCAAACAAAAAGGTTTCATCAAGCTGTAAAACTAAAAAGAATGTCTTGAAATTACATCATAAATAATAAGAAAGTGTTTCAAGAGCGCAAAGTCGTTGAAAAACATATGCCAAAAGCTTCCGTTATTTATTTTGGTCTCTCGGCTTTCATGTCTATTGGCTTCTTAAAAACAGCCGGGAGAAGCAGCAACTGCTTCAAATCACGTGACATGTGACGTCCGAACCAGCAACTGCTTCATTTCCTGAATGGATCACTTGACTGGTTCGCGGTCCATTCACGCGATTCAATGCACTGCATCGTCTCGATTCTGACAGGTGACAGGTTGAAACAGTTTCGAATTTGAGCGCTTCCACACTTTATGACCGCTCTTAACAATGCGCAATGTGTGGGTTGAGTTGTTGTTGGTATTGCATTTGAATTGTAGTATCATTATAGAGCAAGCCAGGAAGAAAGATAGGTCGTTCTGGCTCGGGAAACACTTCGAAATGTGGAGAAGTTGTGAACAAAAAGACAATTATCAGTAATATAAAACCAGTTCAATATTTTAAGGAATAGATAGCCCAGTGGGTAGAGCCGGCGGCCCGAATGCGGCGATGTCCTCCGCTGGTTCAAAGCCTGGAATGGATGTACTTTTAATCATTGCTTTTCAACTTTAATAACTGATAAAAGGCCCTCTCCTCCCAAAGAAATGTCCAGCACTCTCTAGTCTATTCTCAATAACCCAATACACACAATTATCAATCTTTAATTGCAAATAGAACATGATATTCAGTCTTAGTGTGTGTGTGCATCAAATATTTTTCAAGGCAAAGATACGTTAAACCCACAGCCTTGCACTTCGCCAGGAGAGGTCGCTGTAACTGAAGCTTCGAGAAATTAACCTATTTCCGACACAATTGTCCAAGTGGTTTGATGCTTAATTCAAAGCTTCATTTTGCCATCACTACAGGTGGATTCTAGCTCCTGTGTGTTATCTGAAATTGCCATACTAACTTTTTTTTCTTCTTGTGTTTTGTTGTTGTGTTTCTTCTTGTTCTTCATTTGTTGTTTAAGGGCGGCTGGCAAACAGCTTTTAGGCGCAATACCACCCCCTGGATTATATATAGTGTAGTGGATACTGCCCTGAATGACAGACTTTTTTCCCACTCGTAAAAAAAAGGCGTATTCGTCGTGTGACTGCGTGTGCCGAACCGTGACGTCCGAACCGTGACGGTACGGGACGAATACGGATACCGTCAAATCCCTATTCTGCAGCAATGGAGAGTCAGGACTCAGAGAGACACAAGGAGAGTTGGAGCTTTGATGTCAAACACGGATCTTTAATATAAGCATCGGCCGGAGAAATTCACATCACAAGTGACAGAGCAGCCAGAGATTCTGACTGCACGGGTGGGTTGCCACGTCAAATCTGACCAGCCTATCTCTGATAGACCTTTTAACTAGTTTACAGAGAGAATTCACATATTGGGGGAGGGTGCGTAAACACTGGGAACACTGCAGATATCCCTGATATCTGGAAATGCTCAATCACCTGTCATGGGGAGCTTAGAAAGCCAGCGTTCTCACAGTCGTAAAACCCTCTATGACCGATAATAAAACTGAGAATAACATCACATGATTCCATTATCACATTCGTTACGGGAGATAACAGACTTAGGGTTCGTCGTAAATGTCAACAGGCAGAAAGGTTCAATATCTAAAATAAAGGCAGAATGAATCCCTAACATAAAGAGTAAGTCCACTAGTTTAATTTTTAAAGATGCTTTTTGTTAAAAGCAGCGAAAGCTGTTGTCACTACAAATGTAGCAGAAAAGAATTACATGAATTGCCTTTTAATAATAGTGGATTAGAAGTAGGTTTAACCTTTAGATTGGATAATGTTCCTGGAGTCATTGCAGTTTCACAAATGAGCTGTTTAAACTGATGCTGGCGTGTTTCCGAGAGAAGGAGGGGTTGTTCCTCAGATTCATCACAACAACATTATTTATATTTCAAGATTGAAAAGATTTAATGTCATATAGGTATAGCAATGCAAGGTTAAGCAATGCATACACAAATATATAAGGCTTTACTTTGATAAAGAAAGTTTAACCATATGGTTAGATATAAGACCTTTCTAAAAAAGGACTAGAAAAGAGTTTGGAAATGATTTATGTTCACTCATTCAAGTTCTGTTCATCTTTAAATAGCTGCCTACCAACTTTGTGACATTTTTAATACAAAATAATATTTGACTCTTTATTACAAGTATGAAGTGCTGACAAAATTCCTCAACCACATTGTTGGACTACAAAGAGCTTTTACTTAAAAGTTATGCGAGCATTTACGATATAGAGGATTTATGTTTAAAAATGTGAATTATACATACTTATATTTGTCATAGCAAAGGATCCAAACCTGGGTCGCTCTCCTACGATATAAAATATTCTTCTGCAAAACCCATTTTTCTTTCATTTGTAACATTTGCATTAATACACATCTGCAAAAGCAAATAAAGCCGTGTTTTCACATCATCTGTCCACAAAGTAAAGTCTGAGCGGTTGGTCCGGTACCAGAACAGTGCGGTTGATGCATTTCAACTCTCCCATCGTTGGGTCTGGCTTGATTTCAAAGTGCCTGATTACCTGGAGGAAAAAGAAAAATATGAAGTTCAGATTGAATAAGGCCATGGGGAAAACACAAATAAAAAACTAACTGTTTCTCTTTCAAATGTGGTAATAGGAACCTTATTTCACCCCAAAAGACGCTGTTCATGTCTTTTTTCAAAGCACTGTTTCTCTGTTGTTTGATGGCATGGAGCTCTACATCCAATCATGTGTAATCTGTAGATGTTGTAAAGGGATTTCCTGTTAGTCACTTACCCGAAACAGAACCATATACATCTCTAGCTCAGCAATCCTCCGACCCACACAGCCCCTCACTCCGAAGCCAAAAGGGATGGAGGCAAAGGGGTTGGGCCTCACACGTCCGTCACGGAGCCATCTCTCCGGTTTAAATGTGAACGGCTCTGGGAATGTCTCCTCGTCATGGCTGATGGCATAGTGGTGAAGCGTGAAAGCGGTCTGGAGAGACAACAGTCAAGAAATACAACAATGAAACTCTGAACAAGTACTCAAAAAGTACAAGTAGTTTAATAATGGTTAAAAATACAAAGCAGACCTACTTTCTTTGGAAATGTATATCCACCAATAGCAACACTCTTCTCTACAATGATCCTTGCATTCACAGGAACTACAGGGTACATCCTGCAGAACAGGTATAAATCAGGTCATTTGGTTTAGGCTTGTTCTTGTTGCATGTAGGAAAAGTAAGAATGTACAAAGATACAGTACAAGGCTGATGGCCTTTCTGGAAATTGATCTTGGAACCCATCAACATTGGTGTGACAGGGATGAGTCCCACGGAGCAACGACTCATATTTCTGGGATTCTGGTGTGGCCCGCAGATAACAGGGTTAAGAATGCATTTCCTCAAATGGCTAATTGAGCCTGGCTACAAGGTTGGGAATCCACATTGAACCCCGAGTGGTAATTCCCAACTTTGTAGCATAATTATACATGTTTACAGGATGGGAAAAAGGTTGTTGGTGTCTATAGCTAATATAGTCTTATATAACTAGTTACTGTTCTACTGCATTACCCGGACCTGCCTCATCCCCGCAAACAGCGAGGGTGAGGCAAAGGCTTTAAACAGCTCTTCATATACCCAAGGGGGACATCCGTGAGACTGTGCATATTTTATACAGTCTATAGTTGAGACTTGAGAATGGACTTGCAGATAAGAAACACCTATTTTAAAGTCGCCGGTTTACACTGTATTTACGGTTAATTGGGTTATCTACAAAAAGCTAAATCCTTGTCAGATAGCCGATGGGTTCTAAGATTTCATTTTGTCTGACACGTTCAACATCTTTTGCTCTTCACACGGATGGTTTATCAGGCACACTAAAACAGGATTGGTTACATGCTCTACAAAAAGACTACAAGGAAAGCATGTCACGTCCAATGCTAACATCCTGTCCTGTTACCAGCATAATTTGTTTTCATAGGCAGATATGTGTTTCTATGAACCTTCAGCCATCATAAAACCAAAACCAGTCTCACCTCAGTGCCTCCCTGATAACAGCCTTTAAATATGGCATCCGAGTGACCTCAGCAGCGGAGGGGATCCGCTTTGCTGGCAACATTGTGGACACTTCTTCATAAAGTCTGTCCTGGGTGTGAGGGTTCCTGGACAGCAGGTAAAAGCTCCATGTGAGGGTATTGGAGGTCTTAAGAATAAAGAAGGAAAGGCATTTAATAAACGTGCATAAAGATGCACACCTGTAAAAAAGGTGTACTAACATTACAAACATTTTGAATTTGAGTGGAAGCCCAACTTAGCTTCTGATATTTGACATGTTTCTGATATTCAGAATGTCATCTTTGTGTCATGATTTACCGTGTCCATCCCAGCTAAAAGGAGCTCAGTGATGCTGCCATACACGTCTTTGGTGCTCATCTGAGTGTTTGACAGGAGGTATGTTAGGTATTCCCCTTCCACTTCCTGGTTGTTCTCCACACGCTGCTGGATAACCTCCATCTTTTTGTCAATCAACTCTTTACCTAAAATAAGTGCAGAGTTTCATGTATTATTGTTGTCCATGTAAGCTCTAACAACTAAAAGCTCCGGCTATCCGTTTAGCTTCAGCTGAGGTATTTGAGAAAGATGTTTGGTTTATCTTTAGCCTGATTCTTATCCAGAGGACCTGCAAAGAAAATGTTAACATGCATTTACATTGAATTATATTACATTACTGCTACTTCCCATGTATCTTCAATAAAAAGTGGGCGCACATTTAGTGAAAGCTGCCAGCTAATGTTATTTTATTTTATTTTTTTAGTATTGATTTTCATCATTGGATTTGTCCAAAAAGCCCTGCATAGCCTTGCACCACATTAACCCTGATAGAAACACATTAACTGCTTATATAGTCTGGGTGTTTGGTGTTCAGCGAGTCAACAGTCTGTAAAGCTGCTAACACTTTTTAGTTATAGTTTTTAATAGTTACGACAAAATGGTAAAAAGATGTTTGTAGATTTGGATAACTTCCTAACTAATGTAGCATGTTTACAATATTATGTTAACTTTTTACAATTGCATTACCCTTCAACGATTATACTACATTCATTTGAGGAGATAATCCTGCTGAGTCTCATTTTCATTATTCCAAAATCCAATGGAAAAATCCTATTGGATCAAGGGAATCCTTGTGATGCTTACTTCCGGGTCATCCTACAAAAATACGCTATCACTGCACCACTCTATAGGACGATTAACAAGTGCCCAAGATTGAAATAAACATGCACCCTTAACTTGACTTAGTAAACCACTTTAGTTTAGCATTAACTTCCATGTTCTCTACATACCCTCAGGTGAGAATCGGTAGAGCTCATTGGATTTAAGATCAACAGTCTGTAAAGCTGCTAACACTTTTTAGTTATAGTTCAATAGAGAACTGAAACGGAACTTGAAGTTAACTATATACATAAAATAAAATAAAATGAGCACAAAAAGCAAAGCATGAGCACATTCTGTACTTTGCTTTTGTAAAGATCGTCCTAAGTTGTTCCCTTAGGAGTTAGGACATTCTTTTTGACTCAATGGATTGAAAGAGATACACTTAAGCCTTGTCCATATGTAAACAGATATCTTTACAAACAGAGTATTCCCTCTGTGTTCTCAAATGAAACATTGTCCACACAAGTAATGTGATTTCATAGTCAGACTTTGCCTGTAAAAGTGCTTTGCACACATGTTGTTCTGTCAGGAGATGGACTTGTTACAATAGAGAAAGTAGTTATAATAACAGCACTACAAGTACATGTTGTCCATAACAAAGACAGTCAAACCAGCTGTCACTTTTTCTGCGACTCACCAAAGCAGAAGATGCCCTCCCAACCTTCGATGTAGCGCCTCCAGTAGGGCAGCAGACTGCGGCTCCACTTGGGCATCAGAAACGCAGCCATGTTGTAGGAGAACATCTGGCCTATGGAGTGGATGAAGTCTTGAGTCCCTGCAGGGATTTCCTTTTCCAGACACCCAAGCCTTGTCTCAAACAGTATGGAGGCGATACCTGAGTGGCAAAGGTTATGATTCAGGATAAGAAAAACCTTTCTGCAGACTTGCTCTCCCTTTGGATTAGTCAAACTCAACTGGTTGGAATGTAACAAAAAAGCAGCCAAAATGTAAACCTATTAATTCAATTTTAATGGCTTAAATATATAATCTTGAACACACAACAAAAGGCATTGTTTCACGAATAGCCAGGTTACAAAATATGGTCTGCAGACAATAGCCGATTGCTATTCAGGCAATGCGGTCCAGCTCTTTTGCACATGTGTTTTACCTGCATGCAACTAAATCCTGCTCAAGTGACTAATGGCGCATTTCCACTGCAGCGGGTAGCCCCGTTTAAGCGTCCTTAATCTTCCTCAATCGGCCAGGCCAGTTTTTGGTGGCCTTTCCATATAGCGTAGCACCGGCTAGCGGGTACTTTTTCCCTCTTTTTCCGGCCCCATAAAATCGTTGTTCTATCAGGCCAGGGCCAGGGCTGAACTAGTGACGTCAACACTCTCGACTGCTGATTGGTCAGAGAGAATCGTCACAAAGTGTTGACGTCACTAGTTCAGCCCTGGCCCTGGCCTGATAGAACAACGATTTTATGGGGCCGGANTAGATATACTGTATATGTGACGCTAGGGATGATCTTGCGCGCGATCTTGTGACGATTCTCTCTGACCAATCAGCAGTCGAGAGTGTTGACGTCACTAGTTCAGCCCTGGCCCTGGCCGCAAAAAGAGGGAAAAAGTACCCGCTAGCCGGTGCTACGCTATATGGAAAGGCCACCAAAAACTAGCCTGGCCGCTTGAGGACGATTAAACAGGGCTACCCGATGCAGTGGAAATGCGCCATAAAGCCCCACTGGCTCCACAAATAGCTGAAGAAAAGTTATTTTGTGTGGAAGCAGATTGTCGGGCCTCCTTCCTATTTATACCGGAAGGGAGCCCGAGGGTGGGCGTGGACTACAAGTGTTTCAGTGCTGCGCGGGGGCGCAGGGGATTACCCAATAGCGATAGCCTTAGAGGGCTTCGCCAACACTCATAGAAGCTGGAGTTACAGTAGGTAACTTCAGGTTTCCTGTCTGTGTGTTCCCTCCTACCTGATTTCCTGATTGTGTTCACCTGGTGCCCCTGGGTTTTCTCCTCCCTCCTCACCTGTCTCTTGTTTCTTTCATTAGTCCTGGTGCATTTAGGTTCGTTTTCCTGTTAGTCTTTGTGAGATCCTTGTTTGTCTTTGACTGTGTTCACGGGGTAGTGTTCTGTTTGTTATCATGTGAACTTTGAAATAAAGGTATTTTCTGTGAAATCTGCATTTGGGTCCTGCCTGCTTCACTCACCCCTGACAGTTATCTTGGAATAATAGTGTGTTATATTGGATAAATATTGAAATGATGGAATAATATGGTGTTATGTCGAAGAATGCTGGTGTAATAGTGGATTATGATTAATGATTAATAATCATATTGGATGGATATGGTGGTGTATTAAAGAATTATGGGGTTTTTTTTATGCACATGCTCACACCAAACCCCAGTTAGAAACCAGATTGAGTTTCTATATCCTCAGAAACCTAACAGGGATTTCTGCAGAGTATTAAACACACTTCCTGTATCTCACCCTCTCTCTCTACCCTTACTGTTATATAAGGCTTTATGTAACGTCTTTAAGATGATCGGCGGCCTTGTGAGAGACTCAGAGAGGGAAGATGAAGTTTCCTCTGCTTTTGTGCCGACTGTGTGTCAGGAAGACTTGTGAAGAGCTGCAGAAAAACCAATAATAGAAACAGATACTGGGTCGAAGTGAATAAAAGAAACACGGAGAGAAAGAGGGCAGCTATTTTTGGTTTGTTAAAGATACCAGAAATTAAGTATTTGATACTAATAGCAGTGAAATTCATTGAATATGAATACCACATTAAAAAACAGACCAACGAATCCCATGTGCTTCAACACACTCTACATTATTACTGGTAGCATGATGGTTTCTGTTGGGAGGCTATACAGGTCATAATTACCTCTTTAATATCTATTTATATTGCTGTGGAAACATCTGGATTTTTTAGATATCCATTTAAGTGAACTCGGTTTTTATGAATAGAGCTTTAAATCATCACAATGCTAAATTAAGGGTCCTTGTTTTCTGGCTGCTAACAGCTAAGCTAACAACTAATGTCTAACAGATAACAGCTAATGGCTGGCAGCTAACACGTTTATGATTAACATCTTAAAGCTAACAGCTAATAGATAACAGCTAACAACTAATGGCTAACAGATAACATAACAACTGATAGCTAGAGAACCGCAGTGACGCGTCGTAAAACCCGGAAGTAAACTTCTTCCGGTTCCTTCGCGAAAAACCAATGCAATTTCTCCATAGGATTTTGGAAAATAGCTCGAAATAAGGTCTGTGGTTGACACACATTTAAGAGAGGGATCACGTTTTGTTCAGCCGGATAATCTCCA